GTGGACCATCCGCGTAGCTCTTCCATTTGCCGCATTGGACACTTCCTACCAATTTAAGATACCAATTATCAGTTGTTTCCATATTATTTGCGTCAGGTATATTCTGGGAGAGCAAAGTCGTAAAAGTGACATACGACTAAATAAACACAATTGCTTGTTGGCAAATCATTATTTATCCTCAAGTCGGAAACTAACCATAATTATAGTCGAGGAAATAAAGCACTAAAAACGGCCTTACCTCTGAAATCTGTGCAGTAAGATGGATTGTGATGCGGTTTTTTGCATTCGATTCGTTAGAGCGAACAAAAAGTTTGTGACCCTATGTGATCAATGAGAAATGAAAATTGCATCGGTGCATAAGAAAAATGCATTTTTAAAATTGCATCTTGAAGAGTTAAAATATGAAAAATTTGCAACTCGGAAAATATTGACTGAAATGAATTCAATTTTACTACTCGCTGAACACGAATATCACGACGGCTACGGTCTCCGACGTACCTAGTGCCCAGAGTGGCTGGTTTCCACGACGTCTCCTGGAGTTTTGTGGAAATTCGTTATAAACTTAGCCGAAACTCGTTACCTTGGGATTTTTGAGGTCGCTTAACACGAATATCACGACGGTAACGGTCCCCGAGGTACCTAGTACCCAGGATGGCTAGTTTCTGTGACAAGTATTTTATTTTTAATTATTTTTTATTATAAAAATACATTTATTAATTACAAAAAATACATGTTTTCATAAAAATATTGTACTTAGATATCTTTACAATTTTAATTTTTCTTATTTCACGTGTGTGCTATAACTTGGAGCGTATCCGTATGCAGTTCGGAAAGTCCCCATGGTACATCGGCCGTTACGTGAGAGCGATAAAGTGGAAACCGGCCACCCTGGGGCACTAGGTACCTCGAGGACCGTTACCGTCGCGATATTCGTGTTGATCGACCCCAAAAACTCCGAGGTAACGAGTTTCGGCTAAGTTTATAACGAATTTTCAGAAAACTCCAGGAGACGACGTTGAAACCGACCACCCTGGGGCACTAGGTACCTCGGAGACAGTTGTCGTCGTGATATTCGTATTGAGCGACCCCAGAAACCCCGAGGTAACGAGTTTCGGCTAAGTTTATAACGAATTTCCACAAAACTCCAGGAGACGACGTTGAAACCGGCCACCCTGGGGCACTAGGTACCTCGGAGACCGTTGCCGTCGTGATATTCGTATTCAGCGACCCCAAGAACCCCCGAGTAGTAAAATTGAACTCATTTCCGTCAATATTTTCCGAGTTGTAAATTCAATTCAAGATGCAATTTTAAAATGCATTTTTCTTATGCACCGATGCAATTTTCATTTCTCATTGATCACATAGGGCCACAAACTTTCTGGACGCTCTAACGAATCGAATGCAAAAAACCGCATCACGATCCATCTTACTGCACAGATTTCAGAGGTTCAGTGCTTTATTTCCTCGATTAATAAAAAAAGAAAATTTTTAGATATGTGTATATAGCAAGGGAAAGTAATCAAATGGATGCAATGACAGATATTGATGATCTCAGTGTAATTTATACTTTTTTCAATAACTACTACTATGAAACATGATTATTTGAGGGTATTAGTTAATCCGGGTTACGTGCATACAGGGGGGGTATGACCACATTTTTATAAAAAAAAATTGTTCAGTTAATTTCTGGATATTTTTGTACTACCAAATAATTCTTTGCACTTTAGTAGTAACTTATCACCCAAAACTTATCCCTCTCCTTCAATGCAATTAAAAGTTATTAGCAAAAACCCATTTATTTAAAGTCATCTTCAAACGCGTTTACCTTGAGTTAACAAATCTACCCTCAATATATGTATATACAGAGATATTTTTGTTTGTCAGAAAGCTTTCTTTCTCGTGACCATTATAAATATTAACAGAAATAAATATACAGGGTGAGTCAGTTCTTTGTAGACAAACTTTAACAGGAGATAGAACAAATGTTTTTAAAAAGAAAAGTTCCTATAAACATATGTCGTAGAAGGCTTCGTTTCCGAGATACAGGGTGTTGAATATAATTTTTTTTTTCTCAAATTTTCATTATAACTTATAAACGAATGCTTAAATTTTTTTCATGTTTGGGGGATAATGCTTATTAATTAAGGGGCATAAAACAAGTGATAAAAATGTTCAAAAACTTGCACACACAGTGGCGGAGTGGAGGGGGTGCTCAACTTTTTCTTCTTTACGCCAATGACTATTTTAAAAAAAAAACTGTTAATTGACTACATTGGAAAGAGATAAAGAATAAGAGATTTCGGCTTTTTAGAATCCTTAACAAACCATATTTAGGTTTCGTTGAAACAATTAAATATTTAGCCGATAATTGATAATAAATAAATTAGGTAGGTACTTAATTTAGCACCACATCAAATACTAACAATCAAAATAACTCGGAAACGCACAGGAATTTCTAAACAGAAGAAGGGACATTATTTTTGTTAAACTGTATGTAGATAATGAAAATAACATATTTTTTTTAAATAGTCATTGGTGTAGAAGTTCTGTTTAAGAAATGGGTTGAGCACCCCCTCCACTCCGCCACTGTGCAAGTTTTTGAACATTCTTATCGCTTGTTTTATACCCCTTAATTAATAGGTATTATTCCCCAAACATGAAAAAAATCTAAGCATTCGTCTATAAGTTATAATGAAAATTCGAGAAAAAAAAATTATATTCAACACCCTTTATCTTAGAAACGGAGCCTTCTATGACATATGTTTATAGATACTTTTCTTTTTAAAAACATATGTTCTATCTCCAGTTAAAGTTTGTCTACAAAAAACTGACTCACCCTGTATATTTATTTCTGTTAATATTTATAATTGTGACGAGAAGGAAAGCTTCCTGACAAACAAAAAGATCTCTTTGTAGCAGCTGTTTTTTACGTTATTAGTCTTTGTAAAGAGTGATAATAGGACAGCAAGAATACATGATGTTTCTTTGATTGCATTATTTCAATATATATCCGGAATGTGTTTTTGCGTAATTTATATTTGAACATATCATTTTTAGTTATTATTTTAGATAACTATACTAACTGTTTACTAGGTATTAGCGTTGAAGCATATAGTCCATCGAGTAATAGTTTCCTACAACATCTGCAATTAGGAGTCACGTCTGTGGGATTAGATTTTTTTTGTGTACTTTGACTTCTAGTATAGAAGAACATTGTTTGACTTTATTCGACAAGATTAAAAAAAATAATAATCTGTTTTAATTAACTTAGTAATAATAATAATTCCTTTAAAATAGTGTAAGAAAAGACTCAAATCACCACATCACACAAAACTGAATCTATATGTCGTTGCCATGTCGTCGGAGCATTAGACAAACCGAAAGGCATAATTTTAAAGCCACGGTTTCCATGTAATTTTCATTCATGTGGTAAAGCCTGTTCAAATTTTCAACACCTATAAATTCAAATAACTGGAAAATCGGATTCATTTACGGGGTATATATACGTAAATAAGTTAATAATTTTTATTTAGGAATACTGTTACGTTCTTGTACATTTCCAGGTCGTATTAAGGGCGGCGGCCATCCTTATGTAAAAAAATGCGTATAAAAATAATTTTATGTCTGTTAAATTTCCCTACGTGAACAGCTTAATTACCTATTACTACAAAGTCTCTTATGTTTTTGTAAATGCCCGAGCCGTATTAAGTGCGGCAGCCACTCTTATGTAAAAAATGCGCATAAGAATAATTTGATGATGTCTGTTAAATTTCTATACATAAATAGCTTAAATTATCTTTTTCAACAAAGTCCTGAATGTTTTTGTATATGCTCAGGCCTTATTAAAGATGGCAGCCACCCTTATATAATAAAATGCGTATAAAATAATTTGATGATGTCAAATTTCTATACACGAATAGCTTAAATTACCTCTTTCTACAAAGTCCCATTCTGTTTTTCTATATATCTGGGCCTTATTAAGCGCGGGTATTATCTATTATTCCAGCCCAAACATTCACTTTCTCAAGATACTGAGTGCGATACTTCTACATCCAATGTGGATTTTCAGTTGCCCAATACTAACAAATTTGACGGTTTACACCTACGTTTAGGAGGAGTGTAGCTTCATCAGAAAAAGGGGCCTTAGAAACATCGGAATTCCGTTAATTTTTTCCATTACAATTTCACAAAATTCGACTCGTTTATCAAAATCTCCTTCCAAAAGTTCCTGAACTAAGATAACTTTGTAAAGATGACATTTTTCTTTTTAGCATTCTAAGAACTGTTGAATGATCCATTTTATTATTTAATGCTACTTGCCGTGAACTGGTACCGGAATTTCGTACAACATTTAGTTTCTTATTTTTGGGTATTTGTTTTCTACTACCTTTAGGGAGGTCCTTTTCAAGACCTGTTTCTCGAAACTTCTTTCAATTTTGCTTACCTAGGTACTGAGGATTGAGAAATTGGTTCTCGTTTGGGGTATTTATTATTAAATGAAGTACAAATTTCTCTCAAAGTCCTAGTTTAGTCTCCACAACCAATCATTATTAAAATTTCAATTATTTCCGTTTTAGTAAGTTTCGTATTGACAAAAACACTTTTAAACATTTCTATATTAAGTCTATTTGAATCATAGATCTAATAAACTAGTTTACTAGGTCTATTGTTTATTCACTTGAATGTAATCTTTATCTGCATTTTCGAAATGGGAAAATATCAAGTAAGAAATTTATGTGTTTCATTCCCAGTAGAAATCTACATCTCATTTACATTTGGGTACGCCATTATTGTAATTTTAAAATATTTTCTTTAGCACTATACAAAATTCTATTACCTAAACTTACTAATACAGATTAAAAAAAATCGATGACGTCATCACTGTCACATGGGTGACGGCATATGTAAAACAAATATCTCACAGAACACACTTTTTTTGTTGTCCATTATCTATCTTCTTTTATACAATTTCTGTATATTTTGAATCATTTTCTTTCTAGGAGCATGGATGATGTTGACCATTCAAATGAAACAGAACTATTTGAAGATAAGTTGCAACCGACCATAGTTCACGAAAACAATAATAGCGAAAGTAGTGATGAAGAACATCCATCTCAAAAAAGGGAATCTAAATGGAACGATGCAATTTTGACGTTATCTTCAGTGTCTAACTGTGATGTACTTTCTACCAATGCTTTACCAAGATATAGGGGTGGTGTTTATAGTCCTAGTGTTAGTAACACATTAGATACAAATCTTATGTATGTAGAAAATATGATAAAAGTTAAAGACACTAAGCAAGTATATAATAAATTTTCCAATAATCCAGACATTAGTACATATGAATACAGATTTCAGCCAGAAATGAAATATGCAGAATATCCTTATTTACACAATTATGGAAGCGAGTCGAATTCGAATAAATATTATGAACAGAGTTTAACTTCAAAGTTAGCCAAATTAAGAGTTTTAGATAATTTTAAAAATGATGTTGGCAAAGTTGATGCAAAAGGTATAACAGAAGATACAAATTTCGTTACAACGCACTTACAGGATTCTGTAGATAGGGATACTAATAATGATTCAGGATATTCAACTAAAGTTTATGGTAGTTCCAAAGGAAATTCACCTAATTTATCCGGACAAATAGACAGTGAATGTTTAGGTGCGTCCAGTTTAGTTTAGTTTACAAAATATTCAAAAGGAGGACATTCTTTTGCTGCCATATAATGAAATTGCTGGTTAATATATGCTTAAAAACAATAATTATATTAATGAAGATAATTCCAATTATTTTTCAGTTTTAGATATTAATTTAGGCGATAGCAAAGCTAAATATTTATAAATAAAGCATTCCAATATTTCCTCATATTACTATAATTTAAGGATAAGGAAAGCATTCTTACTATCAAAATATATACCTACAAAGATTTTGCAGGAAATTTATTTTAAATGGAATGCGATGTAACGCGATTATTTTATGATTTAAAAAAAATATCTTGTAAACACTTTATTTTTATTATTTCATAATAAAAGACACTTAATTAAAAGCAAGTATATTTTAAACATATATTGAAATTGTCTCACTAATAAGCAAAAATCCTACTCACTGAAATATAGTTTGACATTATAAATGAAAAGGAACATACATTAATATATGTCGATTATGTAGATCAAAATTATTATCCGCAATATATCAAATGTATGCCAATAACTTTTTTAAAACAGATTTTTTTAAAACAGATTTTAATTCCAATTTCAGTTTTGAGATGAGTTAGATATTAATACTAATACTGTTATTAATTAATATAAAAAAGGCACACCTATAGGTAATTTCAAATTTGTTATTTAGCAATAATGTAAATAAATAAGAAAATATAAGAAAATTCGTGCACCTAATTGTTTTTTAGATAAAAAAAATTCTTTGCAATTATTATGAAGATATAATTCCTATTTAATACACAGAATGTTCATTCTACTACTGAAAAGCGATTTTATATATTCATCTATAAATGCAAGAAATATGAAGTATTTAAAATAATACATATTTTAATATTTAATGAAATGTATAGTAGAATAAAATAAAACATTGTTTCATCTTTCTTGTAACTTTTTAAATTCCCGAAACCTTTTTCTCATATCACCTTTTTAACACTTTAAAGTTAGCATCCGATTAAGCTGAGTGTATCTAAGGTAAAAAAATGCAAGAATTTTAAATATCAGTCATAAATATAATGATACGTTATTAGAAACTGGAATGCTCAATTGTTTGTTTATGTTGTCAAAATGTGAGGATTTGATGCTTATAAAGATTGTTGAAAGTTATGTTTTATATCAAATTTCAACGTAAATTTCTCAATTAGATTTAAAATAAAAAAAAAAGGAAAAAATTATTTTCATCAGTGTTCAGTCTTTACGTCTATTTTATTGTACTCACATAAAGTATCAATTCTTTTCTAAAAAAAATATACATTTTGAAATGTCATGTTTTTTTTTTTGTTTTTTTGTTCGTCATTCTTTGTTGCACTTGAAAACATTCATTGTTGTACTAGGCTGGAGGATTCACCTAAGGTTTTCATGATTTGGTCGGACGGAACATTCATGTAGTTATTGTGGAAAAATTGTTTAAAATATTTAATGAAATGAGATCCATATTATGCTCTCAGCCCACAACATTTATTTGGAAAACGAATAAACATAGTGTAATAGTTTTTTCAAAATTAATTTAAAGAGTAAACTGTGCAAGAAATCACCATATTTACAATTTATTTACTTAAAAATAAAGGCTTAAATCAAAAATTGCTCACACGAGGGAAGTGGATCTATCTTTTAGCGTTGCAATGATACCAAAATTATATAGATTTGATAAAAATTACTCAAAATTATATGCTAAATCCCGAACGCCTACAACCACGTGTGTTTTACTAAATGGGATGGGCTAAGAGATTGGTAATTGCGGCCAGGATCAGAGTTCAAAAAACTATCTATAGTAGGATCGTATACGATGCAAAGTAGAGCAAAAAATTGTCGGCCTTTTATCAAAGGAAAATCGTGTCATCATTTTTAGGAGGCGTAAGATAAATCATTTCAAATTTAAAATGAAATTCAATGTAAAATCTGAAATACCGCTGCATACGCACTGTGTTCTGGTAGTAGCTGTAGTCGCCCAGGTGCATCGAGTGTACGAACTGGTCGGTTATACGTCAAATACTAACCTGGCGAGCTTTGCTGTCAATTAGAGAGCGCTTCCAAAAAACAAGTAAGCAACAGTGGCGCGTACAGAGGTAAAATGTAGTACATATGTGGAATTTAGGAAACAAATTGGATTTATAATAAATTACATTTAAAATAAATAGTTTATGAGAATAAAGGAATTTTTGTAGCAACAACGGTGCCAGACCTGAACTGATCCCCTCGTCCCTTCATAATGTATAAAGAAATTATTCAATTTGTAAAACCCTTAAAGGCGTACTTCATTGGTTCCCTTGACAGGCAATGATTTATTACTTTGCATCGAATATGATCGTACTATAGTTATAATCTATACATTCTATAGGTACTTTCTCAATTGAGACAGTATTGAATTAAACGATTAAACTTATGTTTGTCTTCACGTCGAAAGAAAGGAAATAATATTGCTAAATATGATACGTAAGTTTTATATTGTTGTATTGTTATACAGGGTGTCCCGAAATTCATGCAACAAAATTTGGTCATAGATTCTTAAGACAAATTTAGGGGACCCGTATTTTTTCTTTTTGCTAACTGGCCCCCTTTTTCGGAGTTACAGCCCCCTGAAATCTGCTCCTAAGTTGTCTTTTTTATATCTCAAAACCATGTTGTACGAGAATCACTAAATTTGGTACACAGGGGTTTTATGACATGTAGAATGTCACAGTGGGAGTGGGGCTTTTTAGGGAGAAACCCCCTTAAGACACTTTTTCGTAGGCCCCCTTGTCTTTGGAACCAGAAAAAATTGGTGGCAAATTTGATTTTTTTATAAAATTATTAGTTAGCTAGTAAGACATTGAATTTAGAAACTTTTTTGTCTCTTGATATTTGTTTCGTAAAATGCAATGTTTTTGAGGAAAATGGCGAATACGATGTACATTCGATCACATTTTGACATTTTTCTTGAAAACATTGCGTTTTACGAAAAAAGTATTAAAGAGACAAAAAGTTTCTAAATTTAATGGCTTTCTAATGGACTAATAATTTTTAAGAAATTTAAATATCCGACCAAATTCTTTTGGCTCTAAAGACAAGGAGGCCCACAAAAAATTGTCTTAAGGGGGTTCCCCGCCAAAAAACGTAGCACCATCAGATTCCACATGTCATAAAACCCCTGTGTACCAAATTTAGTGATTTTCGTACAACAGGGTTCTAAGATATATAAAAAAAGATTATTCTTAGGGGCGGACACTTTTACTTTTTTAGGAGCATTTCAAACCCAATGCGGATAGTGATGTTACCCATTTGCGAGGTAGCGTGACATTAGGTTTGTGGGAATGGAGCAGAACCGGTCGATGGAACAGATCAGAGACGCGAGTAACTCCTTTTGACAATATATTCGTGGGATTTTCTCCCATGAAAATGGGAGATGAAGTAGATGTGGCTGGTAGGACAGATTATACAGGGTGTCCCAGAATAACGTGTACAACGGAGGACCACAGATTCATGGGCCCAACATAGGCAGATTTAGGCTACTTGACCTATATCCGAAATCGCTTCGTTTGGCCGCTAGATGGCCTCAAAGTTCATGAAAATATTTTGTATTTTGTAAATAATAACTCGAATACGTATTAATCGATTTTGATTATTTTTGGGATGTAGACTTTTGCTATCAATCTACACATTTTGGTGTTATACAGAGTGTTTTTTAAAACCTGTAACTCCTAAAAAAATTATGAATGGCGATAATATCCGATCATAACTTTTTCCTCTTTTGGGCAATAATGACAATTATTTTTTATCTGATGGGTGAGACGTAGAATTTTGATTAAATGAGCGGTTTTGGTACAAAAAATATTTTTTAAATATCTACATTATCGTACCACCCATATTATAATAGTTAACAAAGTGTTAGTAGGCACTGACTTTGTAGGTTGACTGTAATTTCAGTCTGATATTTAACTCATTGTATCTGACAATTCTTAGTGAGTGTTTACGACGATGAGATACACCACCTCTTACTTCATTTTTCGATATGGATACACACACATACGACAAATTATAATTATTTATAACATGCCTAATTTTATTCAAAAAATTAGAAAAAATGGTCAAAATCATTGATAGTATTATTATTGACTCTATTATTCTACCCAATACATATACTGTTTATACTTGTTTAGAAATTTTGCAAAACACTTTACCCAAGTTATTAAAGGGTGTGCCGTTATTGCTCAGAGCTAACATGTGGTTTATGCATGATGGAGCTCCATCACATTTCACTGTAAATGTCCGGCAGTATCAGAACAAAGATTTCCTCGTCGATGGATCGGTAGGGGGAATAATGTTACTGTTAACTGGCCTGTTCGTTCACCAGACTTAACACCTTGAGAATATTATCTTTGGGGTACTTTGAAAACAACAGTAGGTATATGCTTCCACATTTAACATTGAAGAAGAGTTGTGGAGACATATCCAAATTGCCATAAATGTTTTTAAAAATTGCCCCCAAGAACTGCAAAGGGTGTCCTTTAACTTTCTTCGCCGAATTAACCTTTGTTGTAGAAACAACGGTGGTTAACAGTTTTTATAATAAGTTGTACGAAATCTAATAACATCAACTTTGTTACGTTTATCTCCAGTATTTTTTATTGTATTTGATTATTTTTACTAAATATCTCCATAAAATTAGGCATGTTGTAAATAATTAGTCTTATGTGTGTTTGTATCCATATCTAAGTAACATGTTGTGGTATATCTTATCGTAGTAAACACTCATTAAGAATTGGCAGGTACAATGATCATACTGAAATTACAGTCAACCTACAAAATTAGTGCCTACTAGCACTGTTAATTATTGTATATGGGTGGCAAGATAATGTAGACATTTAAAAAATATTTTTTTTGTACCCAAACTGCTCATTTAATCAAAATTCTACAAGAGGCCCAAAAACTTGCAAATGGAATCATCTATCAATTAAAAAATAGTTGTCATTATTGCTCGAAAGAGGAAAAAGTTATGAACGAACCATATATCAATTTTGTAGGAGCTACAGGTTTTAAAAAACACTCTGTATAACATTAAAATGTGTAGATTGATAGTAAAAGTCCACACCCCAAAAAAAATCGAAATCGAATAATACATATTCGAGTTATTTACAAAATTCAAAAAATTTTCACGAACTTTTAAGGCCATCTAGCGTCCAAACGAAGCGATTTCGGATATAGGTTTAGCCTAAATCTGCCTATTTTGAGTCCAAGAATCTGTGGTCTTCCGTTGTACACGTTATTCTGGGACACCCTGTATATGAGATTAACTTCTCTTCGGGGCAGTTTTTTGGCCAGTTTGGGAGGGATTAAGGGTGCGGGTAGCGTGACAGTATGTTCATGGGCTTTACCTTACTTGCGAATGGGTAACATCGCTATCCGCATTGAATTTTTACTCCACCTACACACGTGTCTGAAATGCTCCTAAAACAGAAGTTTAAAGTGACCATACCTAGACAAACAATTTTGTGAACGGAACTTTATTTCAGAGGCCAAAAATAACTTGTATTCACAGCAATTTTAATTTTTGTTCATGTTTTAAAGTAATTAATGCGTGGTCCCTTTATATTTCAAAATGTTTATTTCATGTTTGTTGACGTCGTTCAAATATATTTTTGGCTCACTTTATTTGACAGTAGAGTGTGTTAATCCAACATATTCAAAATAATCTACTAAGGAAAATACGGTACAAAGGGTAAATGTTCTATATATCTAAAATGCCCCCACTACCATTGCGATAATTGTACCAATCAGAAGTTGATATAATTTTCTGTACGATCCTACAACTTGACCACTAACGTTACAATTTTACATACAATTCATATCTAGTTAGTACAAGTTTTGATTTATGATAAAAAATTTTTTAAATATTTTAGAAAGACGAAACGTGCATAACTTTAGCTGGGACAGTGACAGCAGTGTTACATAAAAGCAA